TAGTAGTGGTGGTAGTAGTAGTAGTAGTAGTAGTACACATAGTAGTATTGGGAGTGGTCGTATGCGTACTAGTAGTAGTAGTATTAGCAGTAGTTGTAGTAGTAGTAGTAGTAGTAGTAGTCGTAGTAGTAGTAGTAGCAGTAGTAGTATCAGTAGTAGCAGTAGCAGTAGCAGTAGCAGTAGCAGTAGCAGTAGCAGTAGTAGTAGTAGTAGTAGTCGTAGTCGTAATAGTAGTAGTAGTAGTAGTAGTAGTAGTAGTAGTAGTGGTGGTAGTAGTAGTCGTAGTCGTAGTCGTAATCGTAGTCGTAGTCGTAGTAGAGTGCCCGTATTTCTAGCACTAGTGGTGGTGCCGATGGTAGTGGCAGTGGCGGCAGTAATCGTCGTCGTAGTCGTAATGGTAGTTGTCGTACTGGCCTTTATCGTAGTAGCAGGTCGCCGTCCCCGTAGTAGTCGTGGCCGTACTCGTGTTCGTAGTGGTCGTGGCCGCAGCAGTACTAATATTGCTAGTCTTACTCTTTCAGTAGGGGGGGTGGCACCCTTCCTTAGGATGCTGTCGCGATGTGCCAGTCGGCACATCGCGACAACACCTTGGCCCCTGAAAGGACTGGGACCGCTACGTAAAAGACCTCAAGAGCTTCACGATGAATGCCGACGATGACCGATATGACAAATACATTGCCGTCTGCAGGACAATGCTGATTACTGAGTTGTCTGGAGTGTTGCTGGTGCACCTGATCGGCCTCAAGGATAATGTCAAGCTTCGCACGGCGGTGCTGGCAACGCTGAAGCACTGCAAACACGAGTGGAATCAGATTGCAGACGGCAACGCAGATGCGACGACCGATATGCTGCCCGATTGGCTGAGGCCCAAGTGCAGCGCTGCGTTGCAGTGCAGGTGATGCGGCATGCGCCGCTAACAGCTACTGTGTACTGGGAGGAAAGGAGGTTACACGAGGATGCGATGAGGAAAGAGAGGGGGGGGGGGGGGGTGGACGGGATGGAGGGAGGGGGAGGGGAGAGGTTGAATGGGGTGAGGGTGGATGGGGGGAAGAGAGGGAGAGAGAGATAGAGAGAGAGAGAGAGAGAGAGTGTGAGAGAGCGATACATAGAGAGCTATACATATACATTTACATATGTGTATATATATACATATATGTACATATATATATATATATATATCGAGAGAGGGGGAGAGAGAGAGAGAGAGAGGGAGAGAGAGAGAGAGAGAGAGAGAGCGAGAGAGAGAGAGGGAGAGACATAGAGAGGGGGAGGGCGCGACAGCGACCGAGAGAGAGAAAGACGGGGGGATCGAGCAGCAGAGAGGTGATGGGGGGTTGGAAAAGAAGAGGGGTGTGGGGGGGATAGGAGGGACGTGCAGAAAGAGGGCTGTATGGGAAGGGAGGGTGACAAAAGGGGTGGGGTGAGAGGGATGGAATGGGAGGGAATGGAGGGGAGGAGGGTGGCGATGAGAAAGGAGGGTGGACGAGGGTGACGGACGCACAAAGGGGGACGACAAGAGTAGGTGGGGGAGGAGGAGGAAGCCTGTTTGGATTACGTGTGGTGGGGCACGAGAGGGGGTGCGACGAACGGACATGGACGACGATGGTGAAGACGCCGATGGCAAGGGCGAGGGTGGCGAGGACGACGATGACGACGACGAGGGCAAGACGTCGACTACGATAATGCATATGACTACGTTCGGCGGCGCTGCGTCGAGTTTGTGCGGCCGCGCGGCCCGATCGAGCCGAGGATCGCACGAGGTCGGGACGTGGCCGCCGCATCTGGCGGCGGCGAGTGCGGAAACCCTCCTCCCACATCCCCCTCCTTCCACCTCAGCCGCCGCTGCCGCTCAGGGAGGAAGGGGTACTGAACAGGAGGAGGGGTAGTAGGACCAACGAGAGGGAAAGGAGGAGGAGGGGAAGAAGCAGGGAGGAGGAGCAGGATGACGGCGAGGAAGGACGAGGAGCAGGAAGAAGGGGAGGAGGGAGGAGGAGCAGGAAGAAGAGGAGGAGGGAGGAATAACTGATGGGGCCCTCATGGGTTCCTACTAGTACTACTATTACTACGGCCACGGCTACGACTACGATTACCTCTGAGATCACGCCTAGTAGTACGACTGCTGCTATTACGCTACGGTTAGTAGTTGTGGCTACTCCTCCTGCTCTTACTACAACTACTCCCAACCAATACTACTTACTACTTTCTACGACTACATTTCCACTGCTCCTCTTACTACCAATAAAACTCGGACTACTACAATTACTATTGGTACAAATACTACAATTACGCATAATACTACTATATTACTACTACTAATGCTACTACTACTACTACTACTACTACTACTACTACTACTACTACTACTACTACTACTACTACTACGACTACGACTACGACTACGACTACTACTACTACTACTACTACTACTACTACTACTACTACTACTACTACTACTACTACTACTACTACTACTACTACTACTACTACTACTACTTACTACTACTACTACTACTACTACTACTACTACTACTACTACTACTACTACTACTACTACTACTACTACTACTACTACTACTACTACTACAAGAACAACGGCTACTAAGTACACAAACCACACTCCCGCTGTGCGCTGGTAGCGGAGCTGTGCGGATGGAGCGTGGGTAACGATGCTTTTCGCCTTGTGGCCGCGCCATTGTAATTGGTGCAGTGCCCGAGAAGGCCCCTAGATGGCCCATGCTGGCCCGAGACGGCCCCAAGCTGGCCCAAGAGGGCTTCTGGAGAAGCCCAAAGTGGCCATGAGGGCCCCAAGAGGCCCCCCTCCCCAGACGACCAAGAGGGCCCCAAGGCGGCCCAAGAGCTCCGAGCTGGCCCAAAAGAGCTTCAGGAGGGATCCAAGACGGCCTGAGAAGGCCCCTTCGACGCCCCAAAACGGATTGTGACCGCGTGGGCCATGTTGTGCCACGCAGCGTCGCTGGCCCGCGCGGCGGGATCCTGAGATAGTGCAGCGGCGTGGGCGCCTCGTGTTAAAACAAAAATCCATGTCTGTTTTATCAACGTCTGGAGTGCTGGAAAATCTCAAGATGTAATTTAGCGCATGTTTTGAGAGGGGCTCTTGTTTCTGTTGATTTCATGTTTGTGGCGTGTTTTCATATGCCCGTCGGGGTAAGTGTCCATTGAGGACCGCCGACATCACAATTCTGGTCAAAACGCACCCGTGGGCAGGTCGGGGGGAGAGGTGTGAGGGAGGAGGAGGAGGGAGGAGGGAGGAGGAGGGATGGGGAGGGGAGGGGAGGAGGAGGAGGAGGACCTGTGTGAATCCAAGGTTCAACAAGTATATTGTAATAACCCTCCCTCCAAGTTCCCTCTTCCCAGGCGCCTACAGGGACTCATATTCACGAAAGGGAGTGCCCCGTTGGAGAACAGCCGTTTCAACATCCTTAATTGTGCCAAGACACCATTCCTCGGACTTCACCACCACGGATCAACGTAACCGTTGCGCCCTGACGGTCGAGCATCGTGCCAGAACGCCATTCTTTGGAACGTTAATCATGGTACTCCTCGGAAGCGCTGTAAACTCTGAAAACGAATGGGCGCAGCGCTAAGGCGAGAGTCGGATTTTGAAAAGGAGCCGCCCTCTATCCGTGACGTTCTTCTGTAATTGTTATGACGAGTGCGCGCGGTGCTAAGGCGAGGGCCACATGTTGAAGAGGAACCGTCCTCCATCCATGAAGCTCTTGCATTTGTGATGACGGCTGCGCGCGGCGCTAAGGCGCATGCTTCTTCAGGCGAGACTCCCTTGTGTAAAGGGTCCCGCTTCCATGTGGCCAGCTTGAAGAGACAACGAGGCATGATGAGGCAAGCTGAAGAAGTATCCAGCGGTAGCCCCGCCGTGAAAAGGATCTACCCTCCATCGGTGTAAATGATGACAAGTTCATAGCTTTCGTCAGACGCAGTGCGAATATCTCGAGCGAGAGCCCCATGTTGCAAAGGAGCCGCCCTCCTCCCGTGTAGTGTTGTTGCGCCAAGTGGACTGCCAGGTCGCAGGTTCCAAGGACGCAGCCTCATTTTGAACACGAGTTGGCATCCACCCACCTGGATGGAAGTGAAAAACAGGAGTGCGCTCGGCGCCGATGCGAGAGCCGCATTGCGAACACCACATCCCTTTACCGGTGTCAGTCTTGAGCAAGTTTTAGGCGAATGCGCGCGTCGCGAGGGCGAGAGCCAGCCTCCACCCATGTAGCTGTGATAACATGTACAGCGACGTTGCGCGACGCGTAATTTTTGGAAGCTTCGGAAACGAATACGCGCAGCGCAAAGGCTACAGCTGCATTTTGTAAACGATTGGCCCGCCTTCCTTATAACTGTTGGGAGCTTTGAAATCGAATGTGCGCTGTGCTACTGCGAGGGCGGCTTTTTGGAAACGACTGGCCTTCTACCCTCGTCGTAGCAGTTGGAAGCGTCCGGCCCGACTTCTCCAGCCAAGGCTGGTCTCCCCTGGAATTCTTGGTCAGCACTCGTCGGTGCAAGGCTCCGGGGGAGGAGGATGGGGATGAGGCGGTGGAGTGGACGGAGTGGGGATTTTGTGAGACGAATGCCCGCGGCTTTGGGCTGGGAGCCATATGCCAATCGCGATTCGCCGTCCATCTGTGTAGTTGTTGCACATTTGGAACAGATCTCGAATGCACGCGGCGCTACAGCGAGAACCGCATCTTCTGAAGCATTCGTTGGGAACTTCTCAGGCGGATGAGCGCGGCGCCGCTGCGAGAGCCACATCTTGCCAACGGCCAGCCGCGTGATTGTTGGATATGTCAGTGTCCAGGATCTCAAGTCGTTGTGGTCGGGGAACGACGTACGACGAAAGGCTCGGTCCGCCCCACAGGCGCTTCTGGTCTTGCGGTGAAGAGTTACGTATGTGGGACGTTGTAGGAGGAGAGGCAGCAGCAGCAGCAGCAGGAGGAGGAGGGTGAGGACGAAGAAAGTGCCCTGGCGGATCCTGCCAGGCGGAGTTGCAGCAGGTCCGGGAGGACCTCGCGGGCGAGTCCGCCGCGCGGGGCGAGGGTTTCGAGCGCGAGTGCGCCGCGCGGGAGGCGTTGCAGGCGGTCGCATGCCAAGGATGGGAGGAGGAGGAGCCGGAGGCGGAGGAGGAGGAGGAGGAGAAGAAGCCGGAAGAAGAGATTGAAGAGGAGGAAACGTGCGAGGAAGAGAGCAGGAGGAGGAGGAGGAGGAGGAGGAGGAGGGGGAAGGATCGAGGGCCAAGGTTTGAAGAGGTGGGGGGGGGGGGGAGGGTGAGGGGACGATGAGGGGATGGAGGTCCAAGGTGGGGTGGGGGCGAGGAAGTGGAGGAGGAGGGGGAGAAGGGGTTGGGAGAATACCCAGAGCAGGTGGCCGAGGTTGGAAGGCCGAAGTCCGCAGATCAAATTTATGGTTGCGTAGTTTGCCTTTGGGGGTGCCTTTGGCGGGCTCCCCGTCGCCACGGCTGGATCCGCTTCGAGGTTCTGGTCAAAACGCACCCGTGGGCAGGTGGGGGGGGAGAGGTGTGAGGGAGAATGAGGGGGAAGGAGGGAGGAGGAGGAGGAGGAGGAGGAGGAGGAGGAGGGAGGAGGGAGGAGGAGGAGGAGTGGAGGGAGGAGAGGGACGAGGAGGAGGGGGACCAGTGCAAATCTAAGACTCATCCACGACGTTGCAATGCTCCCTCTTCACTGGCCCCTACAAGGATTCGTTTTCACTGAGGGAAGTGCCCCGTTGAAAAGCATACGTCTGAAAGTCCTGAACGGTGCCAAGACACCATTCCTCGGAATTCAACACCGCGGACCAACGTACGTGTTGCGTCCTGACTGTCAATCCTTGGGTCGTGAATTCTGATAATCCGTAAGGCCTTCGCCTCTTGCCGCCGGCCCCCTCTCTCGGAAAATTGGTCATGCAAGAGCTAAATCGTGGGGCCTGCATGCCACCACAACTTCATGCGAGGACGATAGAAGGAATCGGCAAGACAAATTGAGATTCTGATGATATTGGTGAACTCGGTGTTGCATTTTTGCACTTTCCCGCGCATGTTGTGCATTGGAGGCTTTCTTGGAAAGGCTGGGAGCTGCTTGAGGCTACATTGGGGAAAACCACGCGGCTGGGGCGGTCGTAGGGCTCATCGGCGTCTTTGTAAGGCTCTGGCCTCGGGTGCGCGAACGCGCTGAAATTGACACGGGGTTGTGGCCTCGGCGACGCGAATATTGCGTAATATACTAGGAGCTATAGCTTCGGGGACGCAAATGTTGTCTAATTTACTCTGATGTGTGGCCTCGGGGGCGCGATGATTGCGTCATTTACCAGGGATCGTGGCTTCGTCGACGCGATTTTTTTTGATAGTCTATGAAGGTGTATGGCCTCGGAGACGCGAACATTGGGTACTTCACGAAGGTTCATGGCTTCGGAGACGCGAAGATGGTGTAATTTACTCAGGTTTATCGGTTCGGGGGCGCACTTGTCACGTAATTTAAAAGAAGGTTGCCGGTTCGGGGACGCAACCATGGCGTGATGTATGATGATTTGTGGCCTCGGGGTGGGAATCTTGTAATTTACTCGGGTGTGTGGAGATGGAAACGAGAGCATTGCGTAATTCGCGAGAGTTTATTATTTCGGGGACGCGAATTATGTTTAATATGTAAAGAGTCGTTGCTTCGGGGACGCGAGCATTGCGAAATGTACGCCAGTTTATGGCCTCGAGGACCCAACTATCGCGTATTTTATGAGGTTGTATGGCTTCCGGGACGCGCATATTGTTTAATTGTATATGGCTTATGGCCTCGAGGGCGCGAATATTGCATGATTGACGAGTTTGTATGGCCTCGGGGACGCGAGCATCGAGTAATTTACGAGGGTTGTTCTTTCGTATACGCGAGTATCGAGTTAATTACAAGGTGTATGGCCTCGGGGACGCGAACATTTTGTAATGTGCATGGGTTTATGTTCTCGTGGGCGCGAATCTTGTGTACTTTATTAGGTGTTCTGGTTTCGGGGACGCGAGCATCTCGAGGACGCGAATAGTGCTGATTTGCGATAGTTTCTGGGCTCGGGACGCGATCATTGCGTAGTGTACGAGGGTTTATGGCCTCAGGGGCGCGAATATCTTGCCACCGACTTCGTCAGTGTCCCAGGCATCGGTGTCCCCCATTCACGCGTGCAACTGACCTACCCACTGGACTAGCTGGCGGGTCCTACCTTCGCAGACCTCGACGAACAGGACCCTTTCAGGGGGGACTCGCCCGAGCTTCCCACTTTCGCCCAGCTGGCGGCAAGCTCGTTGCCCCGCCGACACCAAGTGACAAAGAAATATTTCTCACTTGACGCCGACGCATGACCTTAACTCTTTTCACCATTGCAGACTGGCCATGCTTGGCCCACTACTCCGGCCAGCGGTGACAGTTGGTGTTCAAGGGGCTCAGGTCCTTGGCACCGTTTCCCGCACACCCGATGAAACCCGAACAATCAGGCAACCCAGTGAGATGC